CTTGATGCTTTATAGAGACTTACAGCACCAGTGGTAGAGTTACTTTTTTTCCTTCATTTGGCTGGAAGAATTTAAAGACGAATTGTATATGATGTGGTATGTGTGTATATGATGTGGATAAAAAGGAACATTTTTAAAAGTTGTATTTTAATTACAGAGCTACAGTCTGGAGGCTCAGCTTCAAGAATGATTGCCTGCTGGTTTTTTAAATTTCATTCTAGGCATACTATCTTCCGTGGTGGTGTAAAACAGGGCAGTGTAAAACAGGACAATTTCAACACTTAATTCTGTAGCTTGAGAAACTAGATGTTTTTAACTTGATAGCTTTGGGGCTGTGCAGTATCTGTGGCTTGTTTGTCTGCCATGTTCCCAATAGGGGGAGCAAATAAGCCCTGTGTATGGTTAGAGATTTTATTTATTAAAATAGTTATGGCAGATTTTTAATAGGAAAGCATGGTCCAGACATAAATTGTGGAGGTGAGGAAAATCTTGACCGTTGCTATTGAAAGACTATAATTCATTATAAATGGTAGAAATACAATTGTCCCTAATAAAGCTTTCTCTTTCAGAGGATGAAGACTTTTCAATCCTTTTAAAAGCTTTAGAAGGTAGGTATGAAGGAATTAATCTCACCTATTCAAAGGGGAATGGTTGTATTCTGGACGGTTATGAAGGGTTTTGCTAAAGAACAGTGCTTCCATAGTCAAGTGAGAGTGCAGGTGTATTCAATTAATTAGCAATCGTCTCAGTGTAGTAGTGGAAATACAGAAGTGCAACGTGTTGATTCAATGAGAGTAGTTGTCAGGGAGAATTATATTTTGAAGTAGTTTGTAAATTGCATTTCTGTTTTCTAAGCTATTACATGTGCTCTCCACAGGCATCTGGTAGTAAGACAGAAGGGAATATGCATTGTCTTATTTTGTAGACTTTGAAGCTGCTAAATTGATATATTGATAGATTGAGACAGCTGATATGGCGTAGTACAACAAAGGCTGCATGAATAGTACATTCTAAACAGATGATAATTTACTTCCATAGAAGTCTGTCGGTTTTAACAGTGCTAAATTTACTACTATATTGCTAGGTATGTGCTTGTAAAGAAGTTATAAGAAGTAGGAAGCTAAGCCATTAATACACTGTGGCTGTTCTTAAGCCAAGCATCTGTGTATTTGTCGACTCTGAACAGTGTTTTACCCTCTCCAGATTACGAGCGGTTTATCAACGAAGGGGCCAGGCTGCCATCTTTAGTATGTGTGATAACAGGTAGGAGTTTATTCGCGTTGGAATCCTTTCAGTGCTGATACAGAGGACTTCATTCTCACTGTCCTTCTATGGTGACTCTTCTGTTGCTGGTGACGAGAGAGGAGGGACCCTTGTCTTTATGTCTGGTTGTAAGAGCAGTGATTTATAGCTGGGCTGTTACAGCCGTGTAATCATGGCACATCTTTAAAGAGGAGAAGCTCTCACCCTGCCTGTCTAGTACAGCTGTGCATTACTCAAAGAACTTGAGGTCAACATTGAGATGCTGCAGCACAAGAAACTTAAAATCCGGTGTTTGAAGTGTTAAAGCAGAAAGGTTTTCATTTAGTGCTGGAAAAGAGGAAAAACTTGTCAAAGAAGGTTTTGCCAAAAAGTTGTGTGGACAGAACGAGTGCGGTTTGGCTAACTTTCTCATTAGCAAACTGAAACTTAGTGTGATTTTTGAAGGGCCAATTGTGCTGATGAAATTTGTCAGTAGTTATTGGGTTATTTAACGGCTGTAGACAAAATAAAGGTGAGGACCGGGGGATATTGATGGTGGTTTCTTGTGAATACTGAGTACACAAGAAGTCTAGGTTCATGCTGCTTTCAAGGGGACTTCATCTTTGATGTGTCTTTTTGGGGATTGTGTGTGATTCCCTTTTACGCAACAGGAGTTTGTCAGCTGAACAGTAGGATGCACAGACTATCTTCAGTCATCTTGATAAAAAAGACTATTATATATGTATCTTTTTCTCTTTTAAATAGGTAAAGGGCCTCTAAAAGACTACTACAACGGTCTGATAAATAAACTGCACTTGAAGCATATCCAGATCTGTACACCCTGGCTTGAAGCTGAGGATTACCCTCTTTTGCTTGGTAAAGAGTGGATTATGGAATAGACTCGAGAATGTGTGGAAAAATAACTTACTAAAGCTGGAGAGAGCCGATACAGATTTTGCAGAGGAGCTGGTAGAATGTAGTAAGCGAATGGAGTTGCTGGTTAGTGATGGTAAACATGTATTCTCTTCAGGGTTTTGATCATGCCAGCAAAATTGCTAAATGTCCCTAACTACAGTTTTTCACTGTTACCCAGAGAAGTCAGCACAGTGTCTGTGCTGCTGTTTTAGCCTGCTCTTTGTACTCTTCATTTCTTCTAACTGCTCTGAAGTACAACGCCCCTCTGCATGTCCCAGTTTACTTTCAGGGTCACTTCAGTAAATGAAATCCTGAAGCGTTTGGCTGAGTGACCAAGAGTTGCTGAAATTCTAAATTAATACATGCTCAGAATAGTAGTCCCTCAGCACGTTCATTATATTAGCATAAAGCGTGAGTAAGCTTAATAACGTAGTGAAATACGTACTCAACTTGATCTACATCCTGCAAGGTTAGAGCCTGCCAATTTATATGGCTGTAAAACACTGTGTTTATTTGGTACTTTTATACTAATGAGTATAATGTCTATAAAATCATGCTGTAATTTCTCTGTTGTGAAATCCCTTGAGCTGGAGGAGGTCGCTCGCGAGCCACGCAGCTCCTTCTGCCTGGACTGTAGTGGAGTTTTCCTGTGCATTTACCCATTCTTGGCAGAATAAGAGCCAGAAAGGCTGTTTTAAGATGTAGGAATTTTTAAAATTCCCTTTAATTTCATATGCACTATATGTTTCTAAAGCCTGACTAATTTTAGTCACAAAATATGTTGTGCTACATTTTTTTTTCCCCTGACTGTTTGAAATTGTGTCGGTCTGGCTGGTGTTGAACATAGCTCATTTTTAGCTTGCGTTACCCAAAGTAGTACATAAATAGAAAGGTTTACAGTAAAACTAGAAGAGCTGCTTTTAGAGAATTCAGCTTCTTGGCTGTTCTGTTGGCTTTTCAGGCTCAGCAGACCTGGGGGTGTGTCTCCATAAATCATCCAGTGGTTTGGATTTACCCATGAAGGTGGTGGATATGTTTGGCTGCTGTTTACCTGTGTGTGCAATATATTTTGAATGGTAAGAGCTTGTTTATTCTGATACTAAATCAGTATTCTTACAAAGCAAGAGTTTAACACCTTCTGCATGTATCAGTGAGATTCTAGTATTGTGCCATAACCCTGTAGTCCTTTGTTTCCATATACTTAATGTAAAAAAAGCTTCCTTCTGCATGGAGATGTGTTGTGTTCTTTGACAGGGTAAGTGAATGCAGAGTCAGCCATACAACTTGCAGCCCTTTGGGGAAACAGTAGCTTTTATAAATAAAGGTACATTATTTGTGAAGATCTCATGAACTAGATCATGGACAGATCTTCCTTGAAGGTTAGTTCTAAAGTAGATTATTGCCCTGATTTTTAATGTGTGTACAGATGTGTGGTGCTGTGGTGGTTGGCACTGTGGTCGTTGACTCTGGCTGGACACAGGTGCCCACCAAAGCTGCTTGATCACTCCCCTCAGCTGGACAGGGGAGAGAAAATATAACAAAAAGCTCGTGGTCAAGATAAGGATGGGCAGAGATCATTCACTAATTACCGTCATGGGCAAAACAGACCCAACTTGGGAAATCAGTTTATCAGAGTAGGATAATGAGAAATAAAACCAAATCTTAAAACATCTTCCTCCCCCCTCTTCCTCCCGGGGTCAGCTTCACTCCCAATTTCTCTACCTCCTTCTCCTGAGTGGCACAGGGGGATGGGGAATGGAGGTTGCAGTTGTTTGATGACACGTCGTCTCTGTAGCTCCATCCTCCTCAGGGGGAGGACTCCTCACACACTTCCCCTCCTCCAGCTTGGGGTCCCTCCCATGGGAGACAGTTCTCCACAAACTTCTCCAAAGTGAGTCCTTCCTACGGGTTGTAGTTCTTCACGACCTGCTCCAGCATGGGTCCCTTCCACAGGGTGCAGTCCTCCACGAGGTCACAAGTCCCTGCCAGGAAACCTGCTCCAGTGTGGGCTCCTCTCTCCACGGGGCCACAGGTCCTGCCAGGACCCTGCTCCAGTGTGAGCTTCCCATGGGATCACAGCCTCCTTTGGGCATCCCCCTGCTCGGGTGGATGGACCTCCACGAGCTGCAGGGGGATGGATCTCTGCTCTGGTGCCTGAAACATCTTCTCGCTCTTCTTCTTCACTGACCTTGGAGTCTGCAGGGTTGTTGCTCTCTCATATTCTCACTCCTCTCTCTGGCTTCAGCTCCTGTTGTGCAGTTGGGCTTTTTCCCCTTAAATCTGTCATCCCAGAGATGCTGTCGCTGATGGGCTCAGCCTTGACCAGCAGCAGGTCTGACTTGGAGATGGCTGGCGTTGGCTCTGACAGACACGAGGGAAGCTTCTTCCAGCTTCTCACAGAAGCCACCTCTGTAGCCCACCTGGCTACCAAAACCTTGGCATGCAAGCCCAGTACAGGCACAAAGGCAGAGTGCCTGGATGTACTGTATGGGTAGATTTAGATCGTCTGACATAGAAGGGAGAAACAATCTTTAAACATTTTAAAACTGTCCCCTTCGTTCCATTTTGTCAGCTTTTGTACGAAGCTGGTATCTAAACATGCAGGACCAGAATGTTAGAGAGACCCCATGATGCTCTCTTTGGATGCCACAATGCAACTTTTTAAAATGTGTATGTTCTACTCACTGCTTTTTGTCTCATGACTTTCTGTGACTCTTGTTCACAGTTTACATGAACTTGTGAAACACGATGAAAATGGCCTGATATTCAGGGACTCGAGTGAACTTGCAGAACAACTAAAGGTAAAAGCTCGACTGATTTTTTCTTTCCCAGTAGCTATAAGCACAGAGGTGCTGTCACGTGCGCCTTTCATCTGTGTGTTTTGCACTCTCAGAAGATTCTGCTTTGCCTGGTGAATGTTATTTGCCTCACATGATTTGAATGTGAAGCTGGAGCTGGCAAGAACACTTTAAATATTGTCATCATTCACTATTTATAAGGCCAGACCACAGAGTGCTCTCTTACGGCAACGTTGTAGTTGGGGGTTAACACTGGGGAGGCTAGAATGAGCCTAACATGTAATAGGATGATATTTTTCTATGTTTTTCCATTTTTTAACTTACAGATGCTTCTCCTGGGATTTCCTACACTGGAAGGCAAACTTCACAGCTTCAGGGAAAACCTCCGAGCATCCAAGGAGCAACGCTGGGATGAGAGCTGGGACCAGACCCTTCTTCCTTTGCTTGGGCAGAATGAGTGACTTTTTCTGGGAAAGGATCGTGTCAAAAAAAGCTAATACATTCCTGGAGCTGCGTGGATTTGATAAATAGTGAATAAACACCTTCTGTTGGCAATAGTTGCGGTTTTTAACTACTCCTTCTTGGAACAAGTGTTGGGACACACCTCTTCTTTTACAATTTGAGCTTCTCATGTGAGTAAAAACAGCAGAGAGGGTGCTGCCAAAGCTGTTTGTTGAGTGTTGACAGTGTGAGGTGGGTCCTGCCCTGAAGAGCCTCAGCCTCGCTGCCTGGGCTGCCCGTCCTTCCTTAGGGCCTGGGATGGATCCTCAGAAAAGTGCAAGGGAGGTTTAGTTACTCTAGGAGTAAAACCTTCACTTTTTTGGTGAAAATACCTGAATACATTTATAAACTATAACCAGCTGTACCTGTTGTACACCGAGCACTTGACTAGGTGCTTTGGGTATGTTTTCTTGTGAGTGGGAGATGCCTTTTATTTGAACTGAGGATACAGTGGGGGGTTTATTTTTTTCAAGCAGTTAATATTCTTGGCTAGTCTTCCCTAGACGAGCACTGAACATCCTCTTGTATGATTTTAGTGAGACACAACCGTTTGGTTTCAAAGTTGTTTTCCTTTCTCCAGTGTGTGCGAGAACATGAAAGCGCAGCTGCCGGTATGTGACAGTTTTATTGAACATTTAGAGGAAAATAGGCCTTTCCCTGAGCATTATCCTTGTACACTGAAGTGGATGCGCCCATTTACCTTGAGAAAGAACATAAAATTTATCCCTTTTTGAACAGCTGGATAGAAAAGGGAAAAATAAAACCGAAACGTGCTATTAAAGTGTGTATAACTTAATAAAAGGGCACTTCGCTTTCCAAGTGCTCATTCAGGTCCACCCTTCATCTTTTTGTTGTTAATACCAGGATTCGTATGCAGAGCTAATGCTTACAAGATGCTTTTTTCATCACCTTTTTGGTTATAAAATAGCTGTCAAGTCATTTAAAGACTATATGTGCTTGGTTTTATGGTGTGGTTCCAGCTCTTCAGAATTCCTCAGTCCGTGGCAGTGGATGATTACAGTGGGTTCTGCACCAGTGTTTTTAAACCCAGGAATTGCTGAGGAATTGTCTAATACCTGTGTTTGTCACCGTGGACAGTCACCTCCCCTCCTGTGCCCTGCCTGCAGGAGACACTCTCTTGGGAAAAGATTGATTGACAGTGATTTGGTTCTGCTGGTGGGAAAGTGAAAAGAAGAGTCCAAGTCTTTTACTGCAGGAGTTTGGCAATTTCACTGGTTTATTGACTGAAGAACGATCCATAAAGATTCAATTGCTGTTTTGGGGTTTGTTTAGTTTTCCTACTGTTTTCAAACAAAATCCTGGTAGTTTAGCCATTCCCCTTTAGCCATTGATGTGACACGGAGGTAAATTAGGTGCTTCTCTAATGAAACACTAATGCAGAAAGCTGTAGAGAGGCTTCATCTTCCTAATTTAGAATTTTTTAGATCCAAAATGAGCCATCTCTACGGGAACTTCTGAGTGACATGAAGAATTTTGTGCAAGGCAGATGAAGGAGCTCTTGGTGCTGCTGGTGTGTGTTCACTCGATAAACAGAACCTTTGAATTCCTCCTCCTCGGGGAGAGGTTGCTACAACCTGGGGTGAGGTTACTACCGTATTTCCAGCTTCATCCTAGTGGTCATGGCCTCCTTCAGCTTGACAAATAAGATGATTCTCTATTTCAAGTTACCTATTGTCCATTTTCTCTCCATTATTACAGAAAGAGGGGGCTAAAATGTTTGCTCACCTTCTTTTAAGTAGCTTTTGCAACAAGGTATAGAAAAGGAAGTCAGAAGAGGAGAAGGAGCAGCACGTTGGTTTTTCTGCTTCAGGCCCGCTACTGTCCAATGGGAAAATGATTAATGGGAAGTTTCCAAGAAGGTGAGCTCAACTCTTCCTCCTTGCAGCACAGGTAGAGCGTTGCTGTGGAGTACCATTCTTTTTTGTGTTTTCTGGCCAGGCTGAGAGGATGAGTTCCTGATAGCTAATTGTGAAAGTGACAGTTCTCCCACGAGAGAAGTGGAAATCAAGTTCTGTCATCGCTGCAGAGTAGAGATGCTCCTGATGCATGAGAGAAGTGGAAATCAAGTTCTGATGTTTGTCATCGCTGCAGAGTAGAGATGCTCCTGATTTACAGAAATTACCTCCTCTTACAGCATCGTGTAAGCTTGGGACACTGTCTGCTACATTCACTGTAGGTATTACAAATTTTAAGATAACCCATACTGCGAGTATATACAGACAAGTATAAAAAAAATCCAGAGTAGGCAATTACAGCTGGCTTTAATCTAAAAAAAAATATTTATTGCTATGAAACATTGTCAGAGTAGGCAATTACAGCTGGCTTTAATATTAAAAAAAATATTTATTGCTATGAAACATTGTTTTCCTCCCTTCTGAGTATGCGAGACTCATCTTGTGATCCTGCAGATGCACCTCCATTATTTACAAATCCAAACACAGTTGAAAAAATACAGTTCACCTCTGTTGTCTCCTACAGAATCCAAGTGCAGTACGATCAGGGCTTTGCTTTTTTTCCCTCTTGCTTGAGGTCCACAGATACTTTTTGGGGCAGCAGCTCCTTTATGTGCAGTTATAAGAAGAAACATAACTCCCTTTGACAAGGGTCCATGCATATAGTTGAATCCTCAGTGCCTCCCATGTACCTTTCTAGCATTCAAAATAATCCTGTTGCAAGGGCGAGATTACTTTTTGGGGCAGCAGCTCCTTTATGTGCAGTTATAAGAAGAAACATAACTCCCTTTGACAACGGTCCATGCATATAGTTGTATCCTCAGTGCCTCCCGTGTACCTTTCTAGAATTCAAAATAATCCTGTTGCAAGGGCGAGATGCCTCCTTTTGGTCTGGAAATCCTACTTATGTCACGTTTCCCAAGTCTATATAAATAGCTGTAGAATAGTTACGTTTGGCTGCACGTCATAGAGAAAACTACTGTTGCTGTGGGCTGGAATAATCTGCCATCCGATCCCGGCTTTCTCTGCAAAGGGAAACACCAGGAATCATGTTTCTGCTTAATAAAAGGAAGAGCTGTAAAAGGGAGCTACAGGCAAGTGCTTATCAGGATGTATTTTTAAAAATGAATAGTAACGCTTCTGCTATGGACTCAGCATAATTGTGTGAATTAACTAATTGCTGTAGAGCTAGTAGACTGCAAGACAGACTTCTGAAAAGTGTATGAAGAAAAAATCCCAAATCCCTGTTTTATTTAATCTCTAGCTGTATTTTTAACCCTCCAAGAGCAGCTAAGATAAAGGTTTTAGGCTGCATCCCGAGTTGTTATTGCTGTGACAGCGCTGCACAGATGGTTTTCCTTCTTTAAGCTTCTCCCTTTTTTAGTTTCCCATCACCACCGCGTTGTCAATTCATCTCAATTCAGCACGAACAGACGTGAGCTCTGATGGAGCAAAAGCCTAAATTCCAATCTCCTGACCAAATCTATGTGGAATAGGTACTGCTTTTGGGCAGATTGCTCTTAAATCCGGGTCTAGGATAAAAAAAATCTCACTGTTGGACAATACCCGTCACCAAAAATGCTCCTGTTTATCTCTGCTACCATCACCAAAAATGCTCCTGTTTATCTCTGCTACAGATTAAATCATGGGGAAAGATGCCCAAACTGCTGATAGGGTTGATGGAGAAGGCACGCACCGAGTTCAGCCTGGAAGAGGTGATACGTGTCCGGGTTCCGAATGGTGGAAGCAACGTAGACCTCGGGAGGTTTTCCATCCCCTCTGCAAGCAGAGAGTTTCTGTAGCATACCAATAAGGGCTAAAATGATCTCTGGATCGTACACCACATCTGCACGGAAAGGAAAACATTCAATATTTATGGAGAATTGAGCAAAAAGCAGAATGAAAGTTATAAAACAAAACCATAAAATATTCATCTCGCAGGAGGACGTGATTTTCGTATTTTGGGTTTAAGAAATCCTTAATTAAGAAATTAAGGAGATCTTAGAAAATGCCTCTATTTGATGTGCTACGTGAAGCTGCCCTCGTCTCTAATATCACTCCAAAACTGCTAAAAATCAGCCCTCCTTTTTGTAAATAGATTGTCACATATTGTGTTCAAGCCCCTCCTAAGGGGGAATAGCAGAAATATTGAGCGTTGGTGCTTTGTCCTTGGCAGAAGAAAATTGTTCCAAACCTGTATTTTAGGGGCTGGTTGCGAAAGACTTGGTTTAACTGCAGCAGAGTAGGAATAGCAATGAAAGGTAAAACTGATCATTAAGGGGTACAAAATGTCAACTTTACTAATTAGCCCTCCGTTCTGATACTGAAGAGGTGGTGGTTTACTCCACAGAAATACTGAGGTGTGCAACCCCATAAGGGCATGTCCTGCCATAACCAGGAACAGCAAATAATAGAGAGATTTATAAACCACCTTCAGTTTTGAATTGCTTTTCCTTCCTGAGTCCCTCCTGGGCTGGTCTGTGCCTTCTCTGAACTCTACAGTCAGCATTAGGTGATGTGCAGTGACTTCATTTTATAGAATTCATATATTTAATGCATCATGATACCTTTGATGACAAAGGCAGTATACTTTGTCATTTTTTTCCCCTGAATCCTTAGTGAATTTTTGCCTTGCAAAGCCCCAAATCAGGGAGTAAAATGCTGTAGCTACAGCTAAGAAATTTTGCTATTGCAAAAAGAAACAAAACCAAGATTTTCCATTATTAGTTTTTTTTTTTTATAAACTCCCTTCAGATTTCTACATGGGCAAGTTCCAAAAAAGACTTGTTGTTTGTGGGGTGTGTTCTTTCACACTTGTTATCCCTCGAGAGAATGCCAAAATTGCCTGTTATTATTGATGAGGCTTTTAAGAGTTGACAGATTTATCAACTTCCATTTCTGGATTTATAAAGAAAGGCAGAAAGGAAAAATAATTTGCTTTTTGGCGTTAACATACACAACTGCTGGATACTGGAAAAAGAGGGGATGGTGAAATGAACTGGGAGAAGATACGGTACGGATTTGATGGGTGGACTGTTCAGTGGATGAGGAACTGGCTGGATGGTCGCATCCAGAGGGTGGTACTCAATGGCTCAAAGTCCAGATGGAGACCAGTCACAAGTGGTGTTCCTCAAGGGTCCGTGCTGGGGCCAATACTGTTTAACATTTTTATCAACGATATAGACAGGGGGATTAAAGGCACCATCAGCAAGTTTGGGGACGACACCAAGCTGTGTGGTGCTGTCGATACACCAGAGGGACAGGATGTCATCCAGAAGGACCTGGACAGGCTGGAGAGGTGGGCCCAGGTGAACCTCCTGAGGTTCAACAAGAGCAAATGCAAGGTTCTGCACCTGGGCCAGAACAATCCTCACCATCAACACAGACTGGGGGGTGAGGTATTGGAAAGCAGCCCTGATTGTGTGCAAGTCTGGAGCCCTCAGTATAAGAAGGACATGGACCTGATGGAGCAGGTCCAGAGGAGGGCCATAAGGATGATCAGGGGGATGGAGCACCTCTGCTACGAGGACAGGCTGACTGCGGGGGGGTGGGACTAGATGGCCTTTGGAGGTCCCTTTTGGCCTGGGCAATTCTATGATTCTATGATAAGATCTGTCGGGTGCTTCCAGCGACGTTAACTGGAGTGGGGCTGAGTGATTCCTGCACACAAACACCTCTGTGTTTCTCCCTCTGACTTTATTCCAGCGCGACGGCAGCCTCTGAGGCACCATCCCAAAAATACCTGCTGCGATGACGACGTCGGGCTGAAGATCCAAGAGTTGGTTTTCCGTAACTGAGCCCCAGTCCAGTTCGGCAACAATTAATTTGGGGTTTTGGCAACTCGTTGCTTCCACCTCCTGGCCCCGGGGCTCCGTTTGGGTTCCACGGGCCGTGGGGGGCTCCAAGGCCAAGCCGTTGAGCCGGATGTTTTCCTCCAGCGCCTGCAGGACGCCGGGGTGGCAGTCGCTGAACACGTACCCCTTGGGACGGCAGGATTTACAGACAGCGATTCCAGTGAAGCCAATCCCACTTCCCAGCTCCAGGACTGTCCTTGAAGGGTAATAGAGTGAAAGAAGGACTTAGTAGGATCTGAATGAGTTAGGAAATCAAAACATTCTACGTCTATCTAAAGGAAAAATCAGTTGCAGATTATTTCCATAATTTTTGAGTAAACCATCAACAATCTAATCTTTGTTTCAAAGAACAGGGAGAGCTGGCAAACACTGCAGAGGCAACTGTAAGCATCCAAATGAATTGCTTGGAAATACTGCTTCTGCTGATGGTACAAAGCATTTCCACTGCAGTGATGAGACACATTCCCACCTGGTTTTAAACTTCTACAGCACAGGTGTCTCCACCCACACTGGAGGTCCAGTTCTTTTTGTACTTGGTGGAGAGAAACTGGCACCTCAGCAGCACAGTTCCTTCTTTGCTGAATCTTTCCTCAGAAGCATTTCTTCCTCTCGCATGCTTATAAACAAGGGGGAGAGGAAGAGCTCAGATAGACCATCTGAAGTCAGGTGAGGTGAATCTCATCACAGAATGGTGTAGGTTGCAAGGGACCTCAAAGCCCACCCAGTGCCACCCCCTGCCCTGGGCAGGGACACCTCCCACCACACCACGTTGCTCCAAGCCCCCTCCAACCTGCCCTTGAACCCCTCCAGGGATGGGGCAGCCACAGCTTCTCGGGCCAACCTGGGCCAGGCTCTCACCACCCTCACACCAAACAAGTTCTTCCCCACAGCTCAGCTCCATCTCCCCTCTTGCAGGGTCAAACCCTTCCCCCTCCTCCTAGGGCTCCCCTCCCTCATCCAGAGTCCCTCCCCAGCTTTCCTGGAGCCCCTTGAGGGACGGGAAGGAGCTCCAAGTTCTCCCTGGAGCCTTCTCTTCTCCAGGCTGAACCCCCCCAACTCTCTCAGCCCCCCCTCCCAGCAGAGGGGCTCCAGCCCTCCCAGCATCTCCAGCGTCTGAATCATGGAGTGAATCATGGAGTGCAGGGGTTCAAGTCACTGGATGGACAGTGCAGCAGCTGAAATCTAATGTCTAATTTTAGAGAACAGGTCAGTCTGCATCTTAAAACCTGTCTTAAAATAACTACAAGTTCCTCTCCTGGATTAAAGTTTGACTGTTGCAGACCAGAGGAGAGCAGCAGTCAGCCAGCAGCGACAGGGTGTAGCTATTCCAGTTACCTGCGGGGTAAATGTTGTATGTTATGAAGTTACAGCCGCGTAGCTCACTCACAATATTCAAATATCTCTCCCTCTGTGCCGCGGCCGTTACCTGTCACGGAAAAGGGCGCTGTTCTCTATCGCCCACTGAGCCAGCTGAAGCGCCGCGTCCCAGGTGACGAGCCCCGTGGTTCCTCCAGAGATGATGGCCACGCTCTCACAAAGGGTGACGGGCTCCCCCGAGGGCTGGAGGGGACACAGAGGAGAAAGAGACACGTCAACACAGAAAACAGGGTGACAGTTTACAATCACCTGGGAAAAGGTAAGAAGTGCTTTGGGTTTCTGGGGGGTTGCTTTTAATGCTGAGTTATTGCTTAGTTAGAATCACAGAATCATAGAGTGGTTAGAGTTGGAAGGGACCTTAAAGATCATTGAGTTCCAACCCCCCTGCCCTGGGCAGGGACACCTCCCACCACACCAGGTTGCTCCAAGCCCCCTCCAACCTGCCCTTGAACCCCTCCAGGGATGGGGCAGCCACAGCTTCTCGGGCCAACCTGGGCCAGGCTCTCACCACCCTCACACCAAACAAGTTCTTTCTGGTATCTAATCTAAATCTCCCCTCTTCCAATTTAAAACCGTTCCCCCTTGTCCTGTCACTGCACTCCCTGACCAAGAGTCCCTCCCCAGCTCTCCTGGAGCTCCTTCAGATATTGGAAGGAGCTCCAAGGTCTCCCTGGAGCCTTCTCTTCTCCAGGCTGAACAACCCCAGCTCTCTCAGCCTGTCCTCCCAGCAGAGGTGCTCCAGCCCTCTGATCACCTTCCTGGCCCTCTGCTGGACTTGTTCCAACAGGTCCATGTCCTTCCTGTGCTGAGGACTCCAGAGCTGGACACAGAGCTCCAGGTGGAGTCTCACGAGCACTGAGCAGAGTCACACTTCTCTTGATGCAGCCCAGGATGGGGTTGGTTTCTGGGCTGCCAGTGCACACTGCTGGCTCATGTGGAGCTTTTCCCCCACCAACCCCCCCAAGTCCTTCTCCTCAGGGCTGCTCTCCAGCCATTCTCCACCCAACCTGTATTTGTGCCTGGGGTTGCCACGTCCCAGGTGCAGGACCCTGCACTTGGCTTGGTTGAACTTCATGCGATTTGCACGAGCCCAGCTCTCCAGCCTGTCCAGGTCCCTCTGGATGGCATCCCTTCCCTCCAGCGTGTTGACCACACCACACAGCTTGGTGTTGTCAGCAAACTTGCTGAGGCTGCACTCTATCCCACTGTCCATGTCTCCGACAAAGACATTGAACAGCGTTGGTCCCAGTACCGACCCCTGAGGAACACCACTCGTCACTGGCCACCACTTGGACATTGAGCCGTTGACCACAACCCTTTGGGTGCGGCCGTCCAGCCAGCTCCTTATCCACCAAGAGGGTCCATCCATCGAACCCATGACTTTCCAGTTTTGAGACCAGGATGTCGTGTGGGACAGTCAAACGCTTTCCATAAGTCCAGGTTAGATGACATCTGTTGCTCTGCCCTTGTCCACCAAGTCTGTGGCAGTTCCCGTGATTTAACAATCAATTAAGACGACGTGGTGTCAGTTCTTACCAGGAAGTAGCTTTTGTAACAGCGAGTGGATTCTTCTTCGTTTAGAACCCCTGCCAGCGCGTCGTAGAGCTCATCCAGGGGCTCAGCTCCCACCGACTCGTGCTGCGGGAGAGAGAGAGAGAGGGGGCAGTTTTGGGACCAAATTCCCCTCAAACAGCAAACGAACAGGTGTTACGTCCCATTTCAACACATCCTCAGCCACAACATTTTACGCTGAACACTTTATTTTGTTAATACAAGTAATTCAGCTCGACCCATAATGTAAAAGTGGCATGTTTTCAAGGAAAAAAGCAAAAGAGTTGTAAGCAAGATGAAAAGCAGTACCTTTTTGATGAGCTGGGTTAGAAAAGATCTCCTGTACTTGGTGGGAGGGGGGTATTTTACACCCAGGGGGTGGAGAACGGTCTGAAACAAGAGCAAGGAGGGGAAACCGGTGAGGGAGGGAAGGTTTTGTGGAAGGCAGAGTGAGACGAGAGGTTATAATTGGCTCCGTGTGTCACCAAACGCATCACGAGTCCTTCTGGGGCTGAAAGACTGAGCTGGAAAATGCAACTGGGTGATTTCCAACCGTTTTGCTGCTTTACAGATCTGGGGCAGCAAACGCATTTTTCACTTTTCAGCAAGTAAATAGCAAAACCACATGGGAAAAAAATAGTCTGTTTAGCCCAATTTTGCTTTTAAAGAGCACACGGGGCTTGAGTTGGATGTGCAGAACCGGTAAATGAGAGGGAGGGAAGGAATCTGCTGTTCCACCAGACCCCACGGCTAACGGTGACCCCGGGTCACATCTCTGGGTAATTATGAGCAAAACTAATTGCTTTGGGCACACGAGGTGGTGGTCCCGGGCCACGGCCCTGCCACCGAGCCACCCCACCTTACCTCGTGCAGGATATCCAGGAGCAGGGAGGAATCCGGTGAAAGCCGTAGGTTTTGTTCCAGTTCCTAAAAAAAAGGGGAAATAAAGCCGAGGCTTTCCCGGACCCGCGGGCGCCCACCTGGGCCCTGCCGTGCTGCCCCGCACCTGCCAGGGGAAGGAGCAGAGCTGCCGGGCCGCCAGGAAGCGCCGCTGGAAGCGTGTCCCCAGCCCCGCCTCGGCCATGTCGCCGCGGGGCGAGTGTCTCCGGCCTGGTGGCTACCCCGCGGCTGGGGCGAGGTGGGGGCTCGAACCCGCGACCCCCGCGTTTAGAGCCCGCTGCGCTGCCGGCGCCCCGCGGGTTTCCTCTCCCCGGCCCGCGCAGCGTGATGACGCGGCGCGCCGACGTCACTGCGGAGCGCGGCGGGGAAGGACAGGGCGCCCGTCAGGGGAGCGGGGCCGCCATGAGCGGGTACACCGAGGACGAGCGGCTGCGGCTGCAGCAGCTCCGCGCCCTGCGGCGGCGCTGGCTGCGGGACCAGGAGCTGAGCGAGCGGGAGCCCGTCCTGCCGCGGCAGAAGCTGGGGCCCGTGGCCGCCTTCTGGGAGCGCTTCCTGCAGCCCGGGGGGCTCTGGCGGCAGCAGGTGAGGGGGGAACCGGGGGGGACACAGCCGGACACCCCGTCCCCACGCACACCCCGGGCCTGACGCGCCTCCCTCTGCCCCCCCGCAGGTGTTCAAGGCCTATCAGACCACCGGCTTCGTCTTCATTCGGGTCCTTATCCCCGCCTGGATCATCCACTACTGCCTCAAGTACCACGTCATGGTGCGTGCGGGCCTGGGGGTGGGTAGGGGGGGGGGTTGGGGTGAAGAAGCTCTGTCTGGGTTAAAACCTGGGAGAAGGTCCCTCCCGGGGAGGGGGGGGGCGGAGTCTGGTTCCAGAGAGGTTGTCTTCAGGAAGAAACTCTTCCCTGTGAGGGTGGTGAGAGCCTGGCCCAGGTTGTCCCGAGAAGCTGTGGCTGCCCCATCCCTGGAGGGGTTCAAGGGCAGGTTGGAGGGGGCTTGGAGCAACCTGGGCTGGTGGGCGGG